ATCTGAATGAGATAGCAACGATGTTGGTGCGACGTGCGGGGAGGGGGGAGGGGGAGGCGAGGCACATATCATTGACCCTTGAGATATTTCCCTTGATGCTACCAAAGGCATTACCCCGTAAGTTCTTGTTTTCATGGCGATGAACTTGTGTGTTGACATTCTATTGCCATTGGACCCACGCCCTTACAGTGTGGCACATCGGCTGTTTGCCATTTTGTATAGGTCACCTTCTATGTTTTATGCGTGTACGTCATGTGTAGTTCTGATCAATCTAAAGGGGAAATAAAGAACAATTTTGTGGTTTCAGATTAACTTCTGAATTCTCATGGTCTCATGGTTGTATAGAAGCTGCGATTTAGAGAAAGCAAATAGATCATGCATCAAAAGATGTACCAAGGAAGATAAATAACTACTAAAAAATATGTGAAGGCAAGAATGCAAAATGATAGGATCCGAGGACAAACTACTGGTTGACATGTTGTACACTATATAATTCCATGTTTGGATTCCCCTAACATAACAATTGTGCTCTACAAGCTTCTATCATGGTATTTTACAATGTTATATCTCTAGAACTCTACAAAGATATCTAAAAGTACTAGAATAGACACAAAAATAAAACATTATATACGCAGCACAATAGAATTTAAAAACATGAACTACTTTATGGAGTAGTGTGATGTTATATATATATATGTTTTCTTGTATGTAATAGTAAATTAGTCTAGCAAGTACAACTTGTCAATACAAAAATTTATATCTCTAAAGGCTGCCATAGTTCCCATGAAAAACATATTCAAATACAAGTCTATTTGCAAATGGTAGAGTTGCAACATTGAACATTGTACCTTAATATTTAGTAATATGTTTGTGTGGTTAATTCCACTATGAATGGTAGATAAATATAAAATATTCTAGTAAGGATAAGTGTTGAACATTGTATAAATATAAATGTATTAGTAGTAAAATTGTTAGGATGAGTTACCGAGAATTAAAAAAGAAGTACATACAAATCTTAACCTTGAGATGCTTCCCAAGGTCGTGGTACGTTCTTACTCCAACATTTTTGCCTCGCTATGAGGTTCTTCTTTCTGATTCCTCGACGATGCAGGTCTTGCCATCTGAAGGCCTCTCATATGACATTAGAACAAGGAGACTATGATATCATGTGGTATACTTTCCATCAATAAGTCTACCCAATAATTTAAGCAAAAACTTCACCATATTGAAATGTCAATTTCGAATAGAGAATCAACTAATAGCAACAATAATCATCATTGCAATGTTGATGTATGATATATAACATATAAAATTATTAAAATACACCAAAATAAGCACATATGTCATGAACAAGATCAATTGTGTTAGTTTGCTACTCTAATTGTTTTAGCATAAACAATGGGTGTACTAGGAATCATGCTCAAAGAATTCATACTTGATATACGCACCAATAAGAATCTTTGTTCTCTCTATAAAACAAGCATCACAACAAGAAAATAGCTTAACCCAAATTTTGGAATCGATTGTTTTGATGTGGTGCCTTATCTCTACCTAGATGATGGTCTCACATCTCAACTAGATCAAAATTCTCAGCCATCCCATGTGCCTATAGCTGATTACTCGCACATGGATGGGGAGATCATTATGGCGATGATGGAGAAGGAGTTGATAGTAAAATCCACGCCCCCCCCCCCTTTCCGGAGGCATGATCTTCCTCCCAACAACCCTCCAGTACGAAGACCAGCAATGGGAGTGGTCTCCGCTCGAATAAAAAATATATGTGATACTTGGGTGATTATGGACCAGGGGACTGGGGAACCAGGACCAGCAAAAGGTTCCGCGGGGCGCGCCAACCTTAGGGCTCTTGGGTTGGCCACTTGAGAGTTACGAGACCCTTGGTTCTCATCGTCTGGCCTATGTCCTCTTCTGTTCAAAACCTTGCTTGGATTTTCTCAATTTTTCGAACGAGGAGTTTTTTCTGCACAGATGATAACCCCCAACACAATTTTGCTGGAAACCACAATTAGTTTTTATTCATTGGAGTAAGTTTAGAGGATAAACTCTAAGTAGAAGAAAGTACATATGTTTAGGACGTATCAGGCCCGCTTTTTGACAAGTTAAGTTATCTTGGCGAGGCGGTGGCGGTGTTCCTGGGGCGGAATATGTCCTCACCACTCCATCCCACTCCGACGATCCTCACTCCATTTTTGACGGGGAAGCGTGTGGTGGGTGGCAGTCCGCCGATCCTTCATTAGATCTAATGAATTGTTCAGGAGTCCATGATGGTTTGATACTTCAGTTATTTTTAGTGGTGGCGGTGGCCCTTCAAATAAGTTTGGAAGGGGTAACTATAGTGTTTTCTAGTGTGCGGCGAGCATATATGGGCATATTCCTCGACGAGCCGACAGTGGCCTTAGATCTAGGGACACAATCGACTATGTTGCTCTTCTACAATGGCTACTTCAACGATGCCGGAGCTTTAACAGTGGTCAGCGACCCTCGCAATCAGAAAAAGAGACCGTAGATGTTTATGCTCTTTTGCTTACTTCCATGGGGCCATTGTGTATTTTGGTGGAACCAGCTGCTGTATCCTCTTTCTATAATCTCGTTTCTTATACTCGTCTTCTTACATACATTGGCATCAAACTTAAGGAATTCTTCGGTCTTGATTGCAATTTTTTTGGTTGGGGTCTTTTGGCCTATTGCTTGTGTTCTGTTGTCTTTTTAATTTTGTCAGGTAGATGTCTACAAACTACTACGTCACTTGTACTTTACTCTTTGTTTTACGAATGAGACACATGTTACCTTAAAATATGTAGGGATGTGCAGGCTACAACGTATGTTTAAAAAAAGGAAAATGTCCAAAACAAACCTTAAAGTTGTAGACGAAAGCTAAATAGAATCCTCAACTTCAAATCCATGAAATCAGCACACCCAATTATTTAATCCCGGTCTATTTTAAACCTTGAGTGCGTTGCCAAACAGGGATTGTCGACATGGCAGGTCAAACCCGGGATCGTTGTCTGCAGCCAGACTGGGCCGGCCTATCAGGTGCAAAGCTTGTTATTATTATTTTTGCAACAATTTTTCCGAACCGCACGGCATAAAATCGTCGGAAAGAAAAGCTTCCCTAAATCGAACTTACAACCAGGCGCTTGTAAAACGCCCCTGCTAGCCAATTTAACTGATATCGATTGGTGACATAAGAGAAGCACGGAAATATTTAAACACACCCTGCGTCGAGATCTAAACTTTTTTTGTAACTTTTTGGAACATTTTCTTGAAATCCGAATATTCTTAGAAGCAAAAAACATTTTTTCTAAATGTAATTTTTTTTGGAATTACGAACAGTTTTTGAAAAACAGTTTCTTTTTGAAAATGTGAACCATTTTTAAAGCCCTGGATTTTTTTGAAGCGCAAACACTTTTTGGAAAAGAAGAACTAATTGTTGAAAACATGATTTTTTTTAAACATGAACGAAATTTCTAAAGTAAGAGTAAATTCTCCCATTTTGAAGTTTTTTAGTAAGTGTTGGCATTTCAAAATATCGTTCAGGTTTCTAAATTTGTTCCCACTTGTTCAAAGTATGTGTATGTTTTAAAATTCTTCATGTTTTGAAAAGTTGTTCTCACTTTATTTTTTTTTCAGGTTTCAAAAAATGTTGGTGTTTTGAAAATTTTGTTCATGTTTAAAAAATGGTTCATGTATAAAAAATATTCAGGGATTTCAAAAATGGTTCACGTTTGAAAATTTGTTTGTGTTAGAAAGAAATCGTAATTCCAAAAATTCTTCACATTTTTTCAAAACATGTTTGGAATTTTAAAACCTGATTTTCACTGTTAAGTATATTCGGATTTCAAAATCGTTGATTACTTTCAAGAAAAAATATTCCGAATTGTTTTCGAATCACAATGCTAAGTAGACTAGTTAAATATTTACTTGATTCACTTTGTACCAAGTTTTGCAGCGTCAGATCTCAAGTTCGATTCCCGCTGAGTCTTGTCTTTTTTGGTATTTTTTTGACGGGTATTTTCTAAGTCAAAGGAAAAACACGCTACACGCTTGGTGGGCCGGCCCAGTCACCAATGATCCCGGCTCAACCTGCTGCCCCCGTCGAAAAATCCCATCGAAAACCAGCCCAAGGTTTAAAATAGACTAGGATTAGAAAGTTCGGTGTGCCAATTTCAGGGATTTGAAGTTCAAGGTTTGATTTAGCTTTCATCTACAAGTTGAAGGTCTGTTTTGGACTTTTCCCTTAAAAAAACGGCATTAGGAGAGACCAAAATTGACAGCTCCTTTTGTATTTACAACAGAAGTGTCACAAGGCACAAATCACGAAGTTCAAAACTCAAAGAAAAACATATGCCACGGTCACAGCATTGTTCTGTTTACACACGCGACGCTTGAATCCAATGTACACTTGGGGGTAGCTTAACAAGACAGTAATAAATGTGAGACATGCAACAAGAATATTTACCACGCGATCAGACAGGAAAACGAGACCATCCATGCAGAAAGGACAATACCGGCACGACCGGGAGCCAGCGCTCGATCAGGGGTCCTCGGCGATGCGCGCCAGGTGCGGGTGCCACGACGTGGCGTGGCTGCCGGTGCTCATGCGCCTCCGGTGCTGCTGCTGCTGCTGCTGGCGACCTTCGACGGCGGCCGTGGCCGCGCTGCCTTCCGACTTGCTGCGGACGTGGAGCCGATGGTGGCGATGGTGCCGAGGGCCCTCCTCGGCGGCGGCGCCGGGACTCGGCTCGCGCTTGGTCTTTGTCTTCTTCTTGGCGTCGGCGGGCACGGAGGCGGCCGGGAGGAGGAAGTAGATCTCGCCGCGCTCCAGCTCGGCCTCGGGCGACACGATGATGACGATCCGCGGCCCGCCCTGCTGCCTGGACCCGCAGGGCCTGCTGAGCACGTGGTTCGGGTGCGCCGCCAGGACCTCCCCGGCGAGCACGGCCCGGCCGTACTCGTCGACGCGGCCGCTGAGGTGCACGATCCGGACCAGGTCCAGCGCGCCGCACGGCAGCACGCACGCCAGGCAGCACCTCAGGCTGTTCCCCATTCGATCAGCTCAGGGTTGCTGCCCGCGTAGCTAGCTAGGCGCCTAGCCACCTTCCTCTCCCTTTCGCTCTTCTCTGTGTGGATACTATCTCTCTCTTCTATGGTGGCGTGATGTGACGACCGGAGACGCATATAAAGAGGAGATAGGATCGACGAGGAGGCCAAGAAGAATAATGGTCACAGTTTGGTGAGAGAGGTGCCAGCAGTATTAAATCTAGCGAGGGCCACTGATGATCAGCATCACTCATGCATGTGTGTGTGCTTGTCGTCCTGGCCGGCCTTATGTACATCTAGATCCTTAACGACCGAGTACTAATGCTCACGCTTACGCATCCAACACTAATCAGTGCACAAGGAAGGAGCTAGTTAGCTAGCCCCATGGCCATGTTCCATCATAATTTTTTTCTCAGCTAGAAATCAGTTGCCTTTTTATTTATATATATTTTTCTCCTCGGTCGACCGATGGATCGATCCGTTGAGGGGCACAATAATGGCACAGCACACTGACGCGCACGTACAGCCATGCTGCCTTGCTGTACCGCTTGGTTGTATGCGCTCGTCTCATGAGTGCTGCCTGCAAGCCAGTGTGAATCCACAATTGGATATGGGGGGTTTTGTTGGGAACAATGATCGATTCATTATTCGGCATGCTTTGCTTGATGATTGTTCGTCTGGTGGATCGATCGCCCAATGGTTTCTTCGCGTAGCTACCGAGTCCGGCCGTGCGTACGTGCAACGCCTTTCTCACGAGGAAGCTGGCGGGAAATGCTTTTGGTGCGCATACGTGCAAGACCTACCCAACCAGAGAGAGCCACGTGTACAACAGCCATAGGAGTACATGCTTTTTAGTGTGGTTTTGATTATTTATTTTCTAAAAAGGAGGATAACCCCGCTCTCTGCATCAGGATGACGCGCACGATCATATATTATTAAGAATGCAAAATCCAGTAGCCGAATAATATTGACCGAAAATAAAGCGAAAAGAAGGTTGCATGCCTCGTGACAGTAACTCCACCAGATAAACACTAACCCTATATCACAAGATGACACCAAAACCAAAAAATACACAACTCCTAGGCAACACCTTCGAGAAGAAATTGCCGCACGGCCCGCACATGTGCCGATGATGGCCAGTCCAACACAAGGTTGAACTCCGGATTCTCATCCCTAAAGGCAAGTTTCAACGCAAGGTCGTGGCACAGGCGCACGTCGGCATAGCCTAATCCAAGATCTTGTGTTTTCACCAGAGTGCATAAACCCGTCGTTATTCCTTATTCGGCTACTGATGCCTCGATAACGGATAGCTCTGAAGAAGACACCAGAAGACAAAGACATCCCATACTGCCCGCCTCCCGCCACTGTCGCACCACCTTCGATCCAGCAGCAACAGACTAAACATGGCACCTCCGCCAGAGCCACCGTGCATCACCTGCCGGTAGCAGGCATGACTTGACGCCTCCGCATGAGACGTTGTGTGTAGCATCCGCCAGCGGCTTCACCTACCGGTGATAGGCATTGCTCGACGTCTCCAGAAGACACCCATGCATTACCTGCCGAGCCGCATTGAACTCGATCTGCTGATGGAGTGGGTGTCCCATACCGCCACCAGCCTTAGAAAAGCCTTCATCACATCAAGATCTAGTCTCCGAGTCGCCCACACGACAAGGGAGTCTGCCACCATCGAAGAAGAGGGTCTGCCGCCCCGATTCCGGGCACTGCATGGAGCACCCACCGTCGCGACAACCATTGTCGTCACCCATACAACGGCAACCGCCGCCGCAATTGTCAGATCTGGGCACCAAGTCCCGAATCCCTCGCGCGCCGCCCCAAGGTCAGCCGTGCCCGACCGGTCGCCGTCGTGCTGACGAGCAGGCCACCACCATATCCGTCGCCCGGGTCGCCGCCCTGGAATCCGCCGTAGCGCATCGAGCAAGGCACACCGGCCCGGTCAGATCTAACAGGAGGCCACACCCGCATGCATCCGGTCCTCCATCAGGCCCTCCATGGCGCCCCTCCACACCATTGCAACCAAAAGGCTCAGCAGCCACCCAAAGCCGTCGGCCCAAATTGGCCGCTGCCCGGCATGGCCCCGATCTTCGCCGCGCCTCCACGTGCAAGGAGGTCTCGCACCACCCGAAGGAGGACCCCCGCCATAGGAGTACATGTTTTTTAGTGTGGTTTTGATAATCCTCAACTATACAAATTTTATGCGTCGGTATATTCTGAATGGAAGAGAAGGCATTTTTTGAGGCCGAGAGAGGGTGTCGTGACGAGCAACAACGATGCTCGGGAACATCGGCAATGCCGAAATAGGAGTGAGCCGGAGCTGGCGACGACACAACGTCACAGGCAAAGGTGACTCTTTGATTTGACAGATGCCAGTCGTTGATTAGGATGAAGGGGTTGTTCCAACCCTCTATTGGATTAGACGGAGCTGAAACCCGATTCGAGGAGCGCCGAAGGCGGCGACCGGAGAAGAGCTACTAGGTGGTCGGAGGAATAGGGATTGAGCTGGGACAGAGGACATGCACTACCGGGGTTTTTTTTTGGAGGGGGGGAGGGGGGTGTGCTACTTTTTTTTTACCACAACTAGACTTTATTTCTCAAATAGTAGACATGTCATTTGCAAGCAGATGAGAAATAAAAATCAGGGTCTCATCATTCCAAGAACTAGAGAGTCCAGTAGTAAAAGAGTTCTTTGCGATATTTCAGCATCTCCTTCCTCCCCCGACCCCGCGCCCGCGCCGCCTCCCCGGGGGGCGGCCGGGGCGGCTCCCCCCGCTCGCCTCTCCTTCCTCCTCCCCCGTGCCCCTCCCCCCCGCCGCCGCCGGCGGCGCCCCTGGATCTGGCCGGGCGGGCTGGCGGCGGCGGGCTCTCCCTTACCCCACGCGCGCACCTCCTGACCCGGGGGCAGGGGTGGCGGCGGGTGCCCCTCGGCCGGCGGCGGCCCGGAGGCCTAGAGGTGGCTGGCGGCGGCCCGTCGTGGTGGTGGCGCCGTCCTTTGGCGGCGGGGCGGCCTGGTTGCGCAGGGTGGCCGGCGGCGCGTCCTCGGCCCAGATCTGGGCCCTTAGGGCCCCATCTGGGTCCTAGCGGGCTGGTCCCTGGGCGTAGCCTCGTTGTCTGCGGCGCGGTGAGGAGGAAGAGCGGCTCGGATTGGGGCGGCGGCACCGCCGGCGTGCCGGCAGCAGCGCGAAGGCGGGAGCTTTGCGAGCCCATGAGGGCTTGGCCGGGCCGGTGGGCCCACGGGCCTGGTGTGCTCCCGCTATTGCGTCCGGACGGCTACCGTAGCGGACGGTGGAGGTGGGCCCCTCCCGCGTGCCGATGGTGCTGATGCCCTAGTCCCGGCTCTGATTCTTCGTCGTGCTATCCTCACTTCGCGGTGCCGTGGTGAGACGGCGTGGGGGCCTCAAGACCGCGTTGGTGCACGATGGTGGTTGGTTTGGTGGCGGGCTCCGGGGCACCCGAGGTGCGGGTTGGGATCGGGGGAAACCCCTGTCGGCATGGCCAACGCCGGCGCGGTGGCGCCTGTGGGTGCCACCTGACCTTCCGGGAGGGTGTCGGAGCTACCCTTCCCCTCGCCTCGTCGTGTACCGGGGGAAACCCTTAGCAGCAGCGTCGTCATCGTCGCGATCCTTCTTGGAGGTGTTGATAGGTGCCGGCGCTTCGGAGTCTTGGAGTCTAGTGGAAGATCCTAGTGGGCGCTGCGATCGCGAGGCTTCTTCGTTTTGTTGATCCGCCGTTTTCGGCATTTGTTTCTTTTGCTTTTCTCTGTCGTTTCTTTTGGGCGTGACTGTGCTGCTTCCGCCCCAGCACCTATCCATGTATGGTTCGGTTGGTTGCTTTGTATACAAAGCGGGGGGAACCCTTTTTCGAAAAAGAGAAAGAGTTCTTTGCTAATACATCTGCCACCTGATTGGCCTCTCTATAACAATGTTTGAACAGGGCCGGCCCTATGTTTCGGGAGGCCCTAGGCGAACTCGACGACATGGGCCTCTATGTCCTAAGTCCTAAGACATGTATATGTATGCGTGTGTTATATATATAACTTATTAAAAGTAACTTTCATTCACACATCTTTAGTTTAAAATATGAGTATAATAATTCAAATGACTCCATCGTGAACAATAATAACCAAATTTGAACCGACTCCATAAAAAACAATGGTACTAAAAAGATCGCAAAATGAAACTAACATGACATGACTACCTCAAATAAGAACGAAATTAGACGGCGAGCCGACGGCGAGGCGGCAAGGGCCAAGGCGCCAGGCGCCGAGCAAGTGAGAAGGCCGACGGGCGGGTGAGGGCGACGAACCTACAAAGGAAACGTCGAAACAAGCGTGAGTCACGGCGCCGCTTCGCCTACGCGTATCCATCAGCGATCGCTAGCTAGCTATATCTGGGCCGCCTAGCCAATCCTATTTCTTTTCTTTAATTCTTTTGTAATTTTTACTTGCTTTTTGCTGGGCTATAGTATATGTATATACTCCATCATGTGCCCCCTCCCCCCCTCGCCTGGGCCCTGGGCCGTCGCCCCGTCGCCCATGCCCCAGGGCCGGCCCTGTGTTTGAAGGAAATGGACGCAAAGTCTATCATAAGCTGTTTACACTCTGTAATGATAGCTACCTCCAGGCTTAGGTAATCATCAAATTGGTTCATCGAGCCCTAAGGGGTTGTGTGCTACTATTAGAGGAAGAAGATGATTCGACCATTCATTTTTATCTAACAACTTTTTTTACCGTTCATTTGCAGATCGATTGAAACTGGAAATATTTTCATTTGACTAATGTTGGGCCTCCACGGTCATTCACTAATGAGGAGGTGAAAATGACAGTGAATAACCATGGAGGCCCTCCACGGTCATTCAATGAGGGGGTGAAAATGAGAGTGAATAATCGTGAAGGCCCAGAACTGCTTAACGTTTGGTTCCTCCAAGCATATATGCAGTTCTGTTTTAGAAAACCGATTGTCATTAGTAATTTAATGTTTGATTTATTTTGCC